AAAAAAAATAAAATAAATAAAATAAAATAAAACTTCCCCATAAAGTTTTTCCTAACAGAATAATGATGCAGCTTTCTCTGTTGCATGAGCTCTTAGAAGCCCTGCTTAAGTGAATCTACTAAACCCAGCTATCTAGAAAGATAACTAAAATTCTTTTTTTCTTGTACCAGGAATTGAACTCAGGACTTTGTGCTTGCTAGGCAGGCGCTTATGCCACTATATCCCTGGCATAAGACTACTATAATTCTTATGTACCGGTCATAATAATCTTATGTATTAATGTAATATTTGTTCATTTTTACACCCCAGGTATTTCTATCTATATCTAGCAAAGCTGGAAACTCCTAAAAGGGATAATCGAGACAAATCCACTCAAACCTGATGTGGGGACAGATGGCACCGTGTCTCAAGTACTCTGATGGCAAACATGTTGAGGACAACAAAGTATAAAATGGTCCATGACTAGGACTACTATAGTTCTAAATATTCCATTAGTGCTGGGTGGGAAAGGGCCTAGGACAAGAGAATAAAAGAACCCAAATTTCCTCATCTTTTTCTGTGTTGGTCCAGTACCATGGATTTCTTGGTGAACCTCAGAACATACCAGCTAAGGGTAGCAGATGTAAAAGAGAATAACCAGAAAAAGAACCAAGGAGCACAACAACGTAGATTATTTAGGCTTCAACAGTCTAGTGGGGTTATTTCTGAGCCTCCCAGAGATCAGGGGACCAAGCTGGAAGGCTCCATACCTTGTAAACAAGAATACAAAGCATTTTAAGCTGAACTTACCGTTTCTTTTCTTGAGGTCCTGCCACTGGTCCCAACGCAACGAACAATTTCACAAAGGCTTCAGGGTGCTCGAACAAAGGAATCATCTCAGTGAGCCTCTTTTTAGCCACTGAAACAAATTCAAAACTATCGAACCGTAGAAACTGATACATAGCAAGTATGTTACTGATGGAATCCAAATCAAGGTGCGCCGCATTGCTTAAAAACACTTTATCACACTGCTCTAATAGTGGGTAATGAGTACATTTAACATTCCTGAGAAACTGTACTATTTTTCTTGCAGTGCTGACCTGAGAAGAATCTATGGTGTCAAAAAGAAGTTCTGTTTTCTTTATTAATTTTTCTTGAAAATGTTGTGATATTAAAGAAGATATGTTGGTCATCAAGACAGACAAAGACCTAAAAAATGGAAAAAGACACAAAGATTTTTACATTACCGAGGAAAATGACCTATTCTAAAACAAAATAATTAGATACGGAAAAGAATTGGTGAAAAGATTGTTTTATACCATAAAACCTTTCTGCTTTTGCTTTTGTTTTTGTTTTGAGAGAGGGTCTCACTACATTTCCAGGCTGGCCTTGAACTCATGATGTAGTCCAGGCTGGCCTCAAACTTGCGGCAATGCTGCTTCAGCCTCCCAAGTGCTGGGATTACAAGCATGCGCCACCACGCTTGGCCAAAATTTTTTCTTTTAAATACTGGTAGGACTTAAACTCAGATTACCTAGTAATCGAGCACTTTTAGACAGAAATAATTAAAACAATCTTTTTCACTAACTGTATAAAATATCTTGTTCTACAGACAAACTGCCAATAGAAAAAAAATTTAGTGAAATTTACAAAGAAATAACTTTGGACCAATAGGCAATGAAAATCTCATTTTGTATTTTTGCAAGTTGATCTTTTCATTACTCCTTTCTGGAGACTGAACCCAGACTTTTGACATTCTTTTTTATTCTGAGACAGGATCTCACTAAGTTGCTAAATTGCCCAGGCTGGGCTTGAATTTGCAATCCTCCTTCTTCAGCCTCCCAGTGCTGGGATTACAGCCATGGACCACCACACCCGACTTACTACTAAAACCTTTGTGAATGATGTCATGTTTCCGCATTTCAAGCTATGCTGGTATTAATACAACAGCAAGGCAGTACTGCACGCGGAGTGGCACTAAACATTCCTTTACTCAGTGGACACTTACAGAGCATAAGTCACTTCTCTAGGCACTATGAAAGACTTCAAAATTACTGAAGTGTTGCTGGTTAATGGGTCCCCAAGAAATTTTTTCCAGGTTTTCTGTGTCCTGAACAAAGACTTGAACAAAACACACAGAAAAGGCGGCAGCAGCACAGATGTACATTTATTGAAGGTGGAAAAGCGTACACTCCGAAGGAACAGGCCAGTGAACTGGCTCCCAGCAGTCTTGAGCACAAGGGAAGGGGCTCTTTTGGACCTGAAATTCCTAGACTGGGTTTTCTCTCATGCAAATAAGGAATTGGGACCGTCGTCTCACCAAAAACTCACTTGGCCTGGCACCACTCAGAGACTCACTTGTTTTTGTGCCCTATGTAAACGAATGACTGAAAATGCACTTTTCTAATTGGTTCCGTTTTCAGTGTGCAGGATTCACAGAGGCACCCTGGATCCTGTTCTGGGAATCTGCTCCGGGTCTCTGTGACTTTGACGGATTTTGCCAAGTTGTTTCAACGGTTTTGTGCCAGCTCTAATTCCCACCTCAGCATAGTCTGTGTTTTCAACAGACTATTTTACATTAATAGGTTTACAAAACCCAGAAAACTACAAATATAAGGCTGGATAATAATAAAGTGTGCAAAACAGAGAAGACCTAATGTAAATTCTTGGGAGTCGAAATGAGGCAGGAGGATGGCAGGTTGAGGCCCAGCCTGGGCAACTTAGAAAGACCTTGTCTGAGCACACAAAGCCTTAGTTTCCTATGCAGCAAATGAAGGTATAAATGCTCATCTGAAAAGGGTGTTTGGGGATTAAACTACACACATGTTTGCATTCAAATGTTTGCCCTCTTTCCTCTCTCTCTCTCCCTTAGATGTAGGCAACTAATGTCTTCTGCCTGCAAGTATGATCATCTAGCAGATGGGGTGGGGATGCAGCTCACTGGGACAGCACTTACCCAACATTCATTAAGCCCGAGATTCCATCAGTGGCACCAAAAAATTTAAAAAAATTAAAAATAAAAAGGAGGAGGGGGAGGAGGAAGAGAAGGAGGGAAAAAGAAGAAAAGAAAATGTGCCAGGAAAATCTGTTAGCCTGTAAGATAAAAATCTCAACAGACCCTTCACAGATCTCTATGAAATTATGTTATACTTCATCTTATCTCTAATCCCAACCACAATATTGCACAGCATGTATTACTGTTTTATAGATGAGGAGAGCAAATTAGCCTTAAGCCCCATAAATACCACTGGCAAATCCATTTCTGCATCGAAAGCCTAAGACCTTTCCACCATAATACAAGTCCCTAAATGAGTTTACCTTAAGTCCTGTATAGATTCCAACTTCCTATTTACAATATCAGCTATTTTGCCCATTAATGGACTGCAGCGCAAATGTTGATGTGCTAGGCAAGCAGAAAATGTTGACAGCACATTAATATCAAGCCTAGTAAAAGAAATACACAAAAGAGTATTAGTACTTTTTTTTATTTTAGAGAGAAAAACAAAAAACAAAATTTCAAAACAAGATGATAGGAGGGTAACAATGGTCAATACATTGTGTACTGCTATCTCTAAATGAGTTTCTCAGAGTACTTTTAATTAAAAATGTAAAAATATAAAAAGCAACCAACCAATAATAGTAGTAGTATAAATTTTTCTAAAATTTTGATTATTATTAGAAAAGTAACAAATTATAAAGGGAAAATTATTCAAAATTATTTGAATCATTTACTTATAATTTTAAGGGGACAATTTTTGAGAACCACTACTACAATAATTCTGTGAAAAACTTCAGCCTGCACACCACACACAGAACTGCCCCGGCCAATTCACACGAATGGATTTTATTTCCTGGCTATGCCATCTGCAAACTCCAAGCACACTCCGTGTTTCATTTCCTGCTGGCAGCCTATGGACATCTGTCCATCAACAGATGAACAGATAAAGAAAATGTGGTATTTACACACAATGGAATAAGTAAGTCCCCTACATAAACATTTAAGTTACGAACTTTCACAGATGCTATGGGACCTCACGTTACAAACATTCATAGATGGAAACAAATCACAGAGCTGGCTCGCGTGTCTGCGGGACATTGTCATAGTGGTGCTGTTGTGTGCTTACTGTACAGTGTGGTAGCATACTGTAGTGCAGTGCTCAGAGCCCAGGATGTGCAGAAGAGAAAAAGCAGTGGTGATGTGGAGGGGACCGCTGGGAAGCACACAGCAATCACCATGAAAGTGAAAATAATTGAGAGATTGGACCGAGGCAAAAAGATGGTACATCTTGCTTGTTCTCGTAACCTGAATTGCTCCACCCTTGGCATAGTTCTAAAGGACAAGGACAGGATCACAGAACATGTGAAGTCTGCTGTGCCAATGCAGTCAACAATAATATCCATAAATCATGGTATAGTGATAGAGGTGGAGAAACTTCTCAGTGTGTGGATGCATGATCAGGATCAGGATCAGGATCAGGATGAGCATCAGCATCAGCATCAGCATCGAGTCCCACTCAGCTTAATGCTTATTTAAGAAAAAGCTAAAGCCTGTTTAAAGACCGGATCAGGATCAGGATCAGCATCAGCATCAGCATCGAGTCCCACTCAGCTTAATGCTTATTTAAGAAAAAGCTAAAGCCTGTTTAAAGACCTGAAGATAAAGTGGGTAAACGTGCATCTTTCACTGCCAGCATGGCTGGTTTAACAGATTCAAGGCTATAGCCAACCTTTACAACAGAAAGTAAGTGGTGAGGCTGTGAGTGCAGATACCACAGCTGCTCAAGAATTTCCAGCAACCCTTAGAGAAATTATTGATGAAGGCGCGCATTTACCCCAACAGATTTTAAACATCAGTGAGACAGGACTGCTCTGAAAGAGGATGCCAGAATGAAGTTACATCAGGAAAGAGGAAAAGTGATGCCAGGCTCCAAAGCAGCAAAGGACAAGACTTAGTCTGTTGTTTGGCGGCAATGCTTCTGGCAATGTGAAACTGCAGCCTCTTTTAATTTATCATTTAGAGAACCCAAGAGCCCTCAAAAACATAGCCAAGGGCTCACTATCTGCTGTGTGGAAGAGTAACTCCGAAACCTGGTTACACAGGCCATCTTCCAGGACTGGGTTTTCCACCACTTTATCCCAGAGATAGAGAAATATTGCTTGGAGAAAGATATCCTTTTTTACACTCTTTTGCTGCTTGACAAATATGCCAGGTCACCCCCAATTCATGGATGACTTTCAACCCAACATTAAAGTAGTGCATCTGCCACCGAATACTATAGCACCCATCCAACCTCTGGATCAAGGAGTTATTGCGATTTCCAAGAAATATTATTTACATCACACTTTTTGCCAGGCAGTGAAGGCAACTGATGAAACAGGAATAACCTTGCAACAATTTTAGAAAGACTATAACATGTACAAGGCCATAAAAAATTCCACCTCGCTTGGTGTGAGGTTTTGGCTATCACCATGAATGGGATTTGGAAGAACTTTTCCCACAGTTTGGTCATGAAGTTCATGGACTTGAGGGGATGGGTAAGGAGTCCAAAGAGGTCTTCAACAACTTGGTGCCCCTTAGCAAGAAGCTGGAGCTGGATCCGTAAGAAGACGACTCCATTGAACTCCTTGTTGTGGAACATGAGGAGCTTGCTGCTGAGGGTCTGATGGAACTAGAGCCCTAGCAAGAAGATGAAGAGGGTCAAGAAGAAGGAGGAACTATAGAACCAAAGAGACTCGCAACACAGGAAATGGCAAGGGGATTTTCTTTACTTGAAGAAGCACTGTTAGGTTCTGAGGCACAGGACTCCAGCGTGGGATGATACACAAAGGTTGCAGCAGCTGCTCGGAATGCCGTTTAGGAATACTAAGTCATCTATGATGAGGGAGAAAGAGCCAGTACTCAGACATCACCGGATCGTTTTCTCAAGAGGGTAGGCAGAAGTGAACCCATCAAAAACCCATTCATCAACATCAGCTGTGAGTGCAATTCCATCTTGCCCTCCTTCCCCTGTTGCTGAGGACCCCTCAGCTCCGTCTCCCACCTGCCCTGCCTCCTCCAGTCAGTAACCCTTCCTGTCAGTCCACTCTGGGTGGTCCCCCAGACGCCAGCTGCTGCACTGTACTGTCCCACCATTTTAAGGAAACTGGAAAAAAAAGTAAAAATAATTTATTTATTATATTTGTGTATGTGTTTAGGTTTTTTAATGTTTTACATTTCAAAGGTGTGTAAGATTTACTTTGTTGGACTTATGAATGAATCCAACTTACAAACATCTCTGAGGACAGAACTCACTCATAAGTTGGGGACTTACTATATTATTCTGCCATAAGGAAGGAAAATGAGTCATCTGTAGGTAAATGGATGTACCCGGAGACCAACTGTTAAGTGACACAAATCAGATATATAACTTAAATATCGCATGCTTTCCACAACATGAGAAAGCTAAAATATAAATACAGAGCAAAATAAAGGATATAAAATAGACAGTAAGGCCAGGTGTGGTGGCACACACCTGTAACCTCAGCACTCAGGGAGCTGAGGCAGAAGGATCATTGAGAGGTCGAGGCCAACCTTGGCTGCAGAGTAAGTTTAAGGCCAGTCTACAAAGCAAGACCTTGTCTCACAAAGAAAAAGTGATTCCTCGGGAAGTCCACTTGTATGTGTAAAATTTAATCATTTCATAGATTCTAAAACCAAAATAATCTATTTTACAACTGATTTATTCATGCTCTGCCATTTATATTACACTTAGTGCTTAGTGCTTTAAAAGGAAAAATAATTTGTTTTGACCTATTACTAACAATGATCATTATATAAATAAATAAATAAATAAAACAATGACCAAATTTAACCCAAAAGATATAGTAAGTACAGTATGTATTATTTGTTGTTTGCACAAGGATGTAAGATTACCCTCGGGACTGTATCATGGTATATGGCTGTACTTCCATAGACAGACTGAGGCAGGCAGAAAACTCCAGTCCACAAGTTCTAGGCTAAGCTAGGCAATGTAGCAAGATCCTATCTCAAAAACACAAAACAGAAATAAGTAGATTACAGTCCTCACCCAACATGAAAGGCCTCTGACTCCAGTTACAGGTAGAGAGCATGCAAGGATGGAGTGATGAGAAGACAGAGGAGTTTAGTTTTAGTGAAACTAACTAAAACCACGGCTCAGGAAGTGGATACAGAATTCCAAACCTAGAGAACTGTTCTGTCCCCCTTTAACTGAACCCAGCCTGTTACGGCTTGCGTCTGGATGGCCCCTCACGTCTTCGTACACTTAATCCCCCTGCACTTACAGCTGCAGTTTTTCAGAAGGTGGATGCACCTTGTGAGCACCCTAGTTGAATGTGACGGTAGAAGGCAGGCTCTGGTCTGAAGAGGTAAATGGCGAGGGCATGGCCTGCTAGGGTGCACCTCCCTCCCTGGCTGTCCCTTGTCTCCCTGCTTCCTGAATGCCAGGACCTGAGCAGCCGTCCTCCCACCGTGCTGCCAACCCTGCAAAGTCTGAAGCTTCTACACCATGAGCCAAAACAAACCTCTTCTCCTCGAAGCTGTTTATTATGGACAGCCCTTTCCTTTCTAACCCAGCTTCTATTTGCTTTCAAGGGGGGTTGTTCTGTGGTTTTTCAAGCCCTCCTCTCTCTTCCCCATATTGATTTTCCTTTTCCTCACTGCCATTTGCCTATTTCACTAATAACGGCTCTCAGCTGTTGAGAATTCCCAGGTTAAAAAGTAATTCAAAGTTTTCAAAAATAGCCGAAGCTTTTCTAAAATGAGCTTTATTATCTCAGCTAGATCTTCCCATATAGACTCATAAAATGAACTTCCCTATACTGATAAGAATACCCTCAGTGGATTTCTCATTTTTCTTGATTATTATCGATTATGGCAACATGCTGAAAATGTAACGTGCATAGTACAAAAAATACATCTCAATTAATACTGTCCACCATAGTGGACCTAAAACATACTCTCTTTAAAAAGGGTCGAAGTCACTCATAAGCTCGGTTACTAACTGCATAAAAACAGAGTGAGGCACAAGCAGCTGCAGATGCCCATAAAAAGCATTCCATGGCCTTTCAGGCTATTGAACTTGTGCCCCCTCTTCTTTTATGGCTCCCGCACTTTTAGGTTTTAACTCCAGCCAATCAGAGAAACAGAACTCTTCCAGACAAGAGTCCCATGAATAGCTGTTACATATTTTACCCCATTTATATTCAATTATTTATGTGGAAAAGTACACTGTACTTTTGAAACATTTGGATTTTCCTTTATTTAAGAAAGAATACACAAGCTGAGCATGGTAACACACACCTATAATCCTAACACTGGGGAGACTGAGGCAGGAGGATTGCTGTGAGTTTGAGGTCAGCCTGGGCTACATATTGAGGTCAGCCTAAACTATACGGCAAGACCCTGCCTCAAAAACCTAATCTAAAACCAAACCAAACCAAACCAAACCAAACCAAACCAGAATGAAAAAGAAGAGAACAAAAGAATACACATTACATAAGCAAAAGCCCTCAAACTAAATTGCGCTTAAATACATTTTTTTCAATTAAGTTTAATAGGCAGGCAGCAGCTCCCCAGTATTTTCCCATTAAAGAGGAACCCTAAAGCCTGAAGCCCCGACCTCTGTTTCTACAAGTTTCTGCCTCCTGCCCCAAGTGCAGCAGGAAATGTTCTATGCTTGTCTGTCAAGGATAGAATGTTCCTGTGAACTCCTGCCCTGTACCTAAAACCTCCCCTAACTGTAAAATGTAACCTCCGCAAAGTGTTTCTGCAAAATCCCACTTAGCTCCCCCTTTTGCTCTGCCCCCCCAATTTAAACAAGCATATAAAACCTCCCCGGCCCCACTATTTGTTGCCCAGAATGTGGAGAACTTATCTCCTCGGGGTGAGAGCTGGCTTAATAAAGAGCTTGGTTTTCTCCACCGCTTCAAGTGCCTGCTCTGTTTCTTGCGCCACGGGAGGCTTGCAATTTCTGACGCCCACAGCACTAAAACTTACTGTGCATACCAGAAAAGGAAGGCCCTGACCTCGGAGGAATCCAGAATACTTGCCTTTCCAACCTTTTCCATGCTTCTGTGACTAGTGATTCAACTAGCGGGTCGTGGGCTGCGACAGCAAACCTCAATAAAAACAAGAGAAAATAATTCTATACAAACACACATTTAAAAAATTATTTAAGTCATGTAATAAAAGTTATAAAGAAAAAGTGAATTTCAATTTATTTTCTTCTTACATGGGCAGTCCTCATTTCCGCTCTACTCCTCACTTCAGTATTCAGACGTCTTGATAGAGTCTAATTAATATCTGTATTTTATCTCATGGTTCATACTTTTATCTGCTCATTTCAATGCCTTCTATTGAACAAACAAAATGTTCATCCAGGTGTGGTGGCCTGTAATCCCAGCACTCAGGAGGCTGAGGCAGGAGGATCACTGTAAATTCAAAGCCAGCCTGCTCTCCATAGTGAGTTCAAGGCCAGCCTAAACTATATAGCAAAGACTTTCTCAAAAAAAAAAAAAAAGTTCAATGATACATTTTATGCTAAAAGAACATGTAACACCAACCAGTCTTGGTGGCCCACATCTGTAATCCCAGCACTCAGGAGGCTGAGACAGGAGGATGGTTGAGAGTTTGAGGCCAGCAGGGGCTACAAAGTGAGTTCAAGGCCTACCTGAACTGCATAGTGAGAACCTGTCTCAAAAAGACAAAAAAAAAAAAAAAAAAAAAAAAAAGGATATATAACATGTATTACTTTATTCTGGTTATAAGAATATTTTATAGGAGATTTTATAGGAGAAAGTATATAAAATATAGAAAAACGCTGATAGCCACCTGTCATCTTAATCATTAAATATTCCCTTAATATACTTTGGAGAATAAACTCTGTAACCTTAGAAAGATGACCAAATAAAAAGAAATTCTTTTTTTTTAAGTTTAACATCAATGCCCAATGAAGTAAGGCCTAAAGTCCCTTTCCTATAAATACTGATCCTCTTCCCATCCATGCCCAAAAAAACCAGATCTCTGACTTGTGTAACACTGACATTTAAAGCTACTTAAATAACTCTGGAAAGTTGGGCTCTTAGAAAACTGTTGTTCTTCCATCACTAAGATTAATATCTTCCTTGTGCACCTGCTGACTCCTTTATTTTCAGAGAATCTAGAAAAGAATCCCAAATGCCCACATTTCTTTGCAAACATTGTAAAATTTCTTAATGCTGAACTTTATCTCTAAGTTTTTTCTA